GCACTTTTCATTCTATAGGCTGCTTCCTCTTCTTTTTTCCTTGTTCTCAGTTACTGAAATATTTCCTTTAAGTGAACACAAAATAAGGAACAATATATTACAGTCATCTCTAAACCATAATATAAAAATCTGTGCTTAGTAGTTACATCCAATAAACTTCAATTGACTTGCAGTAATGTTTTAAACAAATACGTTTTTTTCTTTGCTGGTTTTTTAATCGCTTGCAAGGCTTGCCAACATCTGAAAGGTTTAGTACTTCAGCTATCTATCTAGTTAATTATGTGATTTTCAGTTGGTTTTACACCCTTTGGTGCATACTGAGAAAAATAGCACGGTCAGTGATTGCTTAGGACAAATGAGTTTGCTTCAACTACAGCATTTGCTATCTGGTAAAAATTCCTTTTTAAAATCAACATGAAGAAGCTTTTACTTCCAGATGATGCATGCCTTCTTTTAACTCAAATAAGATGAATTACCCTCCAGATGTACCTTTTTCTTTCCATTGACTAAAAAGGTAGCCTRGGTTACTAGCTCATGTGTGACTCATAGGTAGAAAGTGATATGATTTAATTAACTTAGCCATAAACTGCTGAAGTGTGGGTTGATGTGTCTTAAAGAGATGATATTGGGGGTTGAATCAGGGTTGAATAATATAACAGTGGCTGGAAAATCACTTATTTACTGGACAAGAGCTCAATTAAGGGCAAGAAATTAAACCGTAGTCTACAATGTAATTTTAAAAATACATCAGTAAATAATCAACATGTCAGCTGTGCTGCTGGATACAGTTGCTTGTAGCCATAACACCAGCCTCTGATTCCTAAATTTAAGGACAGCCTCTTACCCAGGCTGTGCAATTTGGCCAGATCCCTGAATAATTGAATGATTCTGGAGCTCTGAGAAACTTCAGAGCCAAATCTAGAAAGAAAAGTCATATCTGAGACCATTTTTATTATTGCTTTTCTTTGTTTTATTGTACTGATATTTTCATTATTATTGCTTATTGAAATATTTGCCTTAGCTTGTGGATGGCTATCACTTAAAAGAAGCAAATGTGTTATTTTGCCCCTTCAGAAAAGGCATTATATCCACATATCATCTCCATTTCTTATTTCAGTGTAAGTTCAGCAGAAAATCATTAACTGAAGTTACTTCTGTGTAAATCTACACAGGAATACACTATCAATCAGGAATGTTTTGTTTTCTAGTCTACACAAGACCAGTATAGAAAAATCTCAGGATATTAAACCCCTGGAAAATAGTCAGAATATAGACTCTAAAGAACATAAGGAAAGATGTTTAGGAGTGCTGAAAAAGAACGACGAAGTCTAAGCATTATTAGGCTTTATGCTATAAACCATTTAATTGTGTGCTTCATATACTACATCCATACAGAGTGGTTTGTTTCTTGGGATATCTTCTSTTTGTAATTATGTGAGAGACCCTTCACCCTATACTGAGTTTCTCGCATTGTCTCAGTGAGCAGATCATTAAGTAATAAATCRATTAGGTCTATAGTTCATATATTAAACAGATCTTCCTGGATAAGGAAATATCAAAAGAGGCCATGGACAAGGTATGCTTGTTGTTCTTTACTATTGGTGCTCATCCGGTGCTGCTTTGAGATGGTTACCCAGTGTTTCAGTGCTAACTGAGCAGTATGTGCAGTGAAGAAGCAGCATGGACGTAAACTATGGGAATAAACTGCTGTATCAGCTGAGTGTACCTGAAAAGTCAATGGATCCAGTGAGGAGAGGAAGCATCAGACAGAAGGAGGGGTTGATGAACTTTTGATAGGCTGATGAAAGGTTGGTGAAGGCCCACACAGCTTCAGGAAAGAAAGCTGTCTCTCCCAGGGAAATGAAGTCTGAGTGGAAGAGAAATTGGAGTTGTGAGATCATTGCGGCCTTGTAATTAATAACAGCTTAAAGCCATCTGTATTCCAGACACAGAGGGGCCTCATTTCCCAGATGTAGGAGCTACCAGATCTTCATGTCACCAAGTACTCGGTCACTGTCTTCCTCCTCCAGAAGGAAGCCAAACTCTGCTCTGCTGTATCCACATGGTGTCACTCTTGGTCTAAATTGGATTACAGGAGGACACATCACCTCCTTGTACTGGATGCCTCCAAAAGGAATAAATCCTGGCTGACCAGAGGCCTCCGAGTTGGGCAGCAGAGCAGAAAGGACTCTCTCACCTGTAGGCAGCTATAGCTCGAAGATCACATACTATTGTAAAAATAATATTCCAATGAGAGCTAAACGGAATTTCCTGTTTGGTTCCAGGTGAACAGGAACAGGAGAACAGAAAAGTGTCACCATCACMACTCCTGGGCAAGTGTACTCAGGACAACAACCAGGAGTGCCAAAGTTACCGTTATCTAATGTCACTGTAGTACTTTTACAGAAATGTAACAAACTATTACAGTGTAGTTTCTTGAAGAAAGCTGTCCTATGGTGCCTCTCCTGCCATTAAAGCAATCCACAGGCAGATTGTCTATGATTCAAAACATAAATGCAGAGCATCTTCTGCACTGTTAAAATTTTTCTTTTTCAAATGAGAAAACCATTTTTTTTTTAAATGTACTCTCACTTTGGAAGCATTTTGCAGAAACTTTCCACAGACAGTTCCAGCCAGCATGGAAAATTTTATCCCGGACTTTATATGTTGTTCTTGGTATCAGAAACGATAAATGTGGGGTGTGTCAGGAACCATCTTTAAACCATCCTGCTAGGTCTGTAAGGGATAACTCTAGCCATGTGGTATCGCTTAAACATCTGGGGAGCTGGTGATATAGGAAAATAGGAGAGAAATGTGGTGGAATATTCCAATTCAGTTCTTAACTGAGTGCAAATGGGCTCTGACTAAGCTTCACCTCTGGTGAGGTGTCTTCTACCTCTGGTGAGATGTCTAACTAGGACCATTGCCCAAAGCACTTTAATGAACAGCGTCCTTCATTTTTGGTATTTTTTTCACTGGAGATGTGAAGACAGGAGTTGCTTTTATTATTTCTATAGGCTTCTTATAAGAGAGATACAGAAGGGCACAGACTAAGTTTTAAAAACCTTTTGAGGGAGAAACAAGCATCTCCTGCTTAGTCCTGCTTAACATCCAAACTGCCTTCCAGAAATACCTGCCACTCTGTTGATTTTAGAGGGAATGCAAAACAAAATGTAGTCCACACTTAGAAGCCTCACTTAACTTCCTAAAGATCATGAAATGAAAATGACTTGTGGTGCACAGAGATATTTAGTAGAAACTAAACCATAGGAAATGTCTAAATTTGATAATTTAAATGTGTGTGAATACACATTTAAAGGAGCTATTAACAAAGACATAGGAAAACGGTTAAAATTAAAAGGGAGTGATTGCTTTTAAAAGTAACTCATTAAAATTACACCATTTACTTGGCATAGATGAAATTCACCCAAGTAGTTCTCTGAGTCACTGAAGTTCTACACTTGTCATTAATGTCTTCCATGCTTTTTTYCCCCAAAATACAAATTAGAAAGTATTTAATTTTTGTTACATTGTGGCTGCAGTTCTCTACTTGCATATCTGCACATAGCACCTTGCTAACGCCTGGGAAGTGCTGTAAGGCAAAGATAATACATATCTCAAAATTCAGTCAYTTAGCAAGTTAAGTTTCATTTTCTGTAGGTGCAAATAAGTACTCCACATTTTAGCATCTGTGGCCTAGAAATCATTGTGACAAAAGATGTTTCAGGTATTTTTTAACACTGGAAGACTTTGCAGTGCTTGCACAGTCTTAACAGAATGAATGAATTTATGACTTATGCCCATTTTTGGGGGGGAGTTTGGAATTTGAGTGTGAGATCACTACTTCTCTTTAATATCCTAGCATGGTTCAAAAACAGAGAGGTTTCTCAGCTACTGTAAGYTAGAATTTTCAGCTAAAAATATGGTCTTTGACCTGGTTTACAGATGGAGGCATACATTTTTTGTTGCTGTCTCCTATAGATAATAGATGACAAGTTATTACATGTTAATTTCTCCAAAGCACAGCAAGCAGAAAAAAATATAAGAACTTATATTCATTGCAGTGGCCTGCCTTGCAATTAATTCTTTGTCCTTTTTTTTTTTTTTTTTTTTCCTCTGAACAAATGTTCATTCTGGTTCTCCAGATTTCTGAGACTACCAACTGCACTGGATCCTGGATGGCGGGAGCTCCATTTTAGACAAGTGTATACACTGTCCAAGTATATTATCCGTTGGTGAAATCAGTCTTCTTGACACAAATTATATTGCCACTAGAAATTTAGGATGCAATAGCACTACTCTCGCATCCACAGCTATAGCAGTGGCCTGTGCCACTGCTATATAGCTATATAGTGGCCTGTGCTCCGGGATCGAGCAGGGCAAGCAGTTTCCGTTGGCTTTATGGAAAGCTGCTTTTATCATAGGCTTGCAGTGTTGGGGGGAAATTGCTCAAGTCCTCATGACACAATAGCTGTCCTTAGGACTTAATTCTGCAACTGTAATTCAGTTTTATCTATAGCAGAATGGGGCTGTTGTTTTGCTAGAAGTAGGGAAAAAAAACTATAAGGAAGTGGGAACACAGTTCTACCGTATAGAGGAACCTATACACACATGAAATTCCTATTAAAAAAAAAACAAAACCAAGTATTCTGGCAAGCTGTATCTGTGCTTAGTGCACACGCATGCATGGGTGTGCCTCAATAGSATAACGCTCAGCTACGTAAGAAAAATTACACAGGCATTTTCTCTGAAAACGCTGCCTGGAACTTTTCATGGGAAAAAAAAAAAGGCTAGATGAAAAATGTTTTTAAATGAAAACTGATACAGTTTATGGAAATATTTTTCAAGATTTTACTGCAAACCAATGGGTTTGGTCACAAAAAATATGATACATATAATCATGTTAATTATATTACATTACAATGATGGTATACATTACAAGTAAGTCTGTAAGTTTAAATATACATCTAGAGTTACAACTGAATGTACAGATATATATATATATTTTTACAATACATACAATCAGGAATGAAACCCCCCCAAAACCATAAATAATGCCCATTTTACAGATGACATCTTTTAAACTTAAAAAAAAAAAAAAAAGAAAAGAAAAGAAAGAAAAAAAAACAGCTTTGATTGACTGCAGCTGGGGCATTTTGGTCCATAAAAACCCTTTCTAAAAATAGAAATCTTTTTTTCATAGCAGCAATGCTTTCTTCAAGCATTTGGATAGAAGTAATTGTAAGCCCATTTCAATAATTTTAGTTGACTATATAGATTTACAAAAAAAAAAAAAATCAAAATTACACTTAATTTATCTTCCAAATATGGAAGAAACAAACAATGCCCCACATTGTGGTATCCTGCAAGTGTCACATTGATGCTTTAAACTAGGTCCATCTGTAGTACGCAGACCACACACATACCATTTGTTCACATAGTAAACCCACATAAAATGAACTGAGAAACACACTCTGCAACAGGAAAAGCTTTGGAGCTAACAAGATCTCATCAGAAAAAGGCACATTTCATAAATCCTTATCACATTCGCATAGATCTTCAGGCAAGGCTTTTCAGAACATGATTTCAAAACAGCTTGTTCTTACTCCTACAGTCTGCCAAAGTGGTCTATGGCAGCAGTCATTTCTGTTTGTTTTTCTTGCCCAAGGAGACAGCACCACTTTGGGGGAAGAACAAATGGAAATCAAAAGCCTGTGAAGCTCATTTAGGGAGTGATGTCCTCTTCAGAAACCCTTCCAGCAAACAGTGTAGTTGAAATTAAGGCTGCAAAGCTGCCGTGGTGGAAATGTGCAAATTCTGTTTCAAGATGACTGGTCATCTGGCAGTTCCACCAGATGACCAAGCGAAAAATAATAGTTATTATTATTWAAAAAAAAAAAAAGCAAAAACACACAAAGTGTTCACAAGAAAGAGTCCATGGGTGGGGCATAGGAGAAGCCCAAAAACGCCTCAGCAGCTTCTTTGACGCTGGCAGTAATGAGGATGCTGTCTGGAGACTGGCCAATGGAGTTGGGCACTGGCTCATCCGTAAACTCAGGATCGAAGTGTCGCAGGTCACTGGGGCCACTCTGTGGAAAGAGCAGGAAAGGAAAAACAAAGTTGGTTAGACCAAATCTGCCCAATTGCACAACTTCACAGTTCAGTTCAAAATGGGTTTGAAAACCCTTGTGTGGAGACTCACAGTGTTAGCACCTTGGGCTCACTGTTTAACCRCCTTTGCCAGTTCTAGTTTTTTAGAGACCCTATTTTTTTGTATCCTGCTGCACACTGTCTCACAAAAAAAATGACTGAATTTAATAGACTATCCTTGAACAAGGCTCATGCAACAAAACCCAGATACAAACATGTCACTCTCCCATGCAGCAGCTGAAAGGGAGGACTTTGATCTCTGAGCAAGGTGTTATATGCAGTTTTATAAAGTGCTCAGAAAGTAAGAGAGAGCAACCTCTACAACAACCCCCCCTTGCACGTTAGACTCGACAAGTCAAACGTAACTCTTATCTTGGGAAGCCACTTAGGTTCCACCCCTTCTCTTCACCCCTTTGATAAAGTGGGGGTGGCAGGGTTTATTTTAAAATAGCCATGCAGATGAAGCATTTCTGTGAGGTCAGAATAACAGCTAAGTTTAGACCATCCATCGACAAAGAATCACCTACTGCTTATTTTAACCTTGTCTGGACAGCAACAAGGAAAGGAAAATCTGTGATTTTCCAGYGATGTGAAGCCAGTTCCCTTTGGCTCCTGAGCACCGCACAAAGACAAGAAAAGAAAAGACAGTCTTTATATATTCCATAATTAGAAGTGATACATACCACATTTGGGTTAAAAGGGGGTGTAATCTTCTTGTTAATAAGATCATCCCAGTTAATTGGGGAGAAGAAGATGTGATTCTTAATCTCCATCTGTTATGGATAGAAAAATAGATTGATTTAGAACAAAGCACTTTAATATGAGGAATACATCATCTTCTATGCTGCACCTAGGAATTGGACAGTCTGCACTTACAAAGTCCTCCTTGGCACCAAGCCTCTTTGTCCTGTCCTTTTGCAAAAGGCCTTCCAGGAGATGCCTGGCAGAGTTGGTAATATTTGGCTTCAACTGCAGTGGTTTGTTCAAGATGTTATCATACATTTCTGCCGTGTTTCTGCTGTAGAAAGGCGGCTGTAGGAGAAGCAGAGGAGAGACAGAAGTCAGTACGGCTGATGTGGGCACACATTTCCCGATGGCATRGTCAGCAAGAGGAAGGAGGTGGCTGATCCTCCTCCAGGACTATTCATCACTTACCAGGCCATAGAGCATCTCGTATAAAACTGCTCCAAGGCACCACCAGTCAACGGTCCTGTCGTAGGGCTGCTTGTGAAGGACTTCAGGAGCAAGATACTGCGCAAGAGAAAGGAGAGAGCCCTGTTAGCCATAAGGATCTTTATAACTGGGAAGCCCCCTAAGTTCTTGACTAAAGGAGGGTGAACTAGCTGCACAAGTACTGAGGCTACTGGTAAATTTTATGTTCCTCGTAAGCAGGGAGACAGCTAGAAAACTGTCCTCTCCCACCCTGCCCTTTCTGTATGAACTCTATTGTCTTCACCAACAGCCTGCCACTGAAACCCCATAATATCTCCCCCTTGCCCAACCTGCTGTATATCCACATTGGAAGTACCAGTTTTCACTAACAAGAGCAAGGCTCCTTCCCGCCCTGTGTGCCTAGGGCTGAGCATACCTCCGGCGTGCCGCAGAAAGTGGAGGTCGTGCCATTGTGCTCTATGTTCTCCTTGCAGAGTCCAAAGTCGGTCAGGACAATGTGCCCCTGAGAGTCAAGCAGGATATTCTCTGGCTTCAAGTCGCTGTAGCAAGAGATGAAAGAACARCAAACATTAGAGGGGCCACAGTGATAATATTTTAGGCATAATTGTACCCATAACTTGATTAAGTTGCAAATATTGGTTTAACTTGGAATTGCTTTTAAGTAAGATCAACTTTTTAATGCAAAAATGATGTGGGATTTTATTTTTTATTTTGACAAACTGAATGGCACTGCTTACCGATAAACTATGTTCAGCGAGTGCAAGTAGCCCAGTGCACTGGCTATTTCAGCAGCATAAAAACGGGCTCTGGGTTCCAGGAAGCAACGTTCCCTCTGGAGATGGTAGAACAACTACAGGAGACAGAAAGAACAAAGTTCTGTAAGCGACGCCAAAGCCTCTTAACAATGCTTTTAATTAGACTCAACATATATAGCTGGCGAGAACAATAGCAGGAAGCAGCCTAATGATCCTTTSGTAGTTCAAAACTTGGCAGCCTGGCAACGGCAACTCTAACAACTTTTCCCCCCGTGACTTTTCCCCTTGGAGCTCTTTATTTAAAAGGTAGGGAGAAAAAGTCCATGATATCGTCATGTGTGTATCATAGGAAATGCCCCCTCATTTTGTTGATGCTTACCTCTCCACCATTGATGTAGTCTAGGACAAAATACAACTTGTCTGCCGTTTGGAAGGAAAAATGAAGCCCGACCAGGAAGGGGTGTTTCACATTCTTCAGCAGGACATTGCGCTCTGACATAATGTGCTTCTCCTGAAAACGTAAGAAATCAACTGTTTAGTGGCAGTATGTTACAATGCTTACCAATAGCAGTAAAGATTTATTTCATGGACATCCCAACAGCATCACTGAGGAACAGCTTACCTCCTTCTTCTTCAGGATTGCTTTCTTCTGCAGGACTTTGACAGCGTAGAATTGTTCTTCTGCCTTATGCCGTGCGAGGAGAACCTGAAAGAAATTAAAATTCCACAACTGAGCAATGCTGAATTACAGTACAAATTGTAAACACAATTGGAAACTATCTTTGAAGTTAACTGACGAGTCCCACTTAGGCCCTCCAGATGAATGTTCAGGCAGTTTGCTGGAAACGCCTGGCACTTTTACCACCCTTGCAGATCAATCTAGCAGAGGGGTTGTCTGCCTTGTTTCCTTCTCTTGCAAAGGCAAACGACATATTCTCCCAACCCGGATAACTCCCACTGCCTTCATGCTGCTTCGCTCTTTTGTGACCGTTTCCTTAAGCAGGCACCAAGCTCTGCTCACCACCCTGGGGCAAACACCTCCCCACAGGCGTTGGGCAGTAAGGCACATGCTTTGCCTCCCTTCTAAGTGTTTAAAATTTCCTTTACCAAAGCCAGTAAGTAACCCTGAGACATTATGCACAAGAGCTGAAAAGTAATTAAATTGCAAGGAAAAAAAAATAAAGAAAGAGAGAGAATTTTACCTTCCCAAAGCTGCCTTTTCCAATCACTTTTAAGAAATGGAAGTCTGATGGTTTGGCATGTGGGTTGGATGATGGACCAAGATTGATCTGCTGTGAAGGACTGGGCTAGAAAAGCAAACAGACAAAACCCATGGCATTTACTAAAACAGCTCAGTAGTGAGACTCTTGATCATAGGTCTTCTTTTTTAAAACATAAATCAAGTGATCTTGAAAGAGAAGATGAGAATTCTGCCTACTACTAAAAAAAAWAATCTAAAACTCTGTCAGTTACATTAAATTGTTTTGTACTACTTATCTAAGACTGCAATGGCATTTATTTTAAAGCTTATTTTTAATAAAAAATAAATCTTGCGAGGTCTTAGTCACATTCCATAATAAATTTACAACTAATTAAACTTATTCTTTAAGCATTCTTCTCAGTATGAGAGAAAATATTTACTCTAACTTGATTGCTTCTTTTTTTGTTCTTTTACATTTGTGCACTATGAGGTCAATTAAAGTAACCCTCATGATGCCAATTTAACCACGTTTCTACTACCGGTTCATTCTAAAAATGCTTCACGGAGTCAAATCTACTTACTGGAGGAGAAGGATTAGCGTTCATAAGTTCAGGCTCTTGAGGCTGGGAGATTTTCAAGATGGATTGAACTTCAGGGCTGCAAGGATAAGAGGGCCCATTATTAGAACAGCCACCAGCAGCTTCAGGCACGCGGATCCTTCCTCTAGAGGGCAAGCAAGGAGCGCAATTGCAAAAAGCAAATTTCAGTTGCGAAACAGCAATTTCAGCTTGGAGCATTACAGAAGGCAACTGAAACAACCTAGACATCCACAGGGTTGCATTTAAAAATGCATCTGGAAAAGGGAAATTCCTCAATTGAGGCAAATGTGTTTATTCGGTAGGTACAGATCAGATTAGGGAAGGGGCTCTAGAAACCTGGCCCATCTGATTAATCCCAAACCAAGCCCATGAGGATTTGTTATGCGATGACTAATATCTGAAGAAGAGCAATTCTCCCTTCTGCAGGAGTCATGCTGGAGGTATTACAGCAAACAAACACCCCGTTGCCAGGGCTCGTTGTGCAAAGCGCTCTGCATGAGCGAAATCCGCCCGAAATTTCCTATACTTACTGCTTGCAGGCATAGGAGTTGGTGGCGATCTTCTGGATGAAGTCGTTCAGCCCCATTCTCCTTTGCTTCATGAAAGCTGGAAGCAGAAACACAGAGGGAAAAATCGTTAAGTAAAAAAGAAAAATGGGGTGAAAAAAAAAAGAGGGGAGGGAGGAGGTGAAGAGTCGAGATGTTCTGTTGATTAAAAATAATAATAATAAAAAATGTTTCCCCCGGGGATCCTCTCCCGCCGCTCACCGATGAGGATGGCCACCATGCCCCTCATCTTGGCGTAGCTGAGCGCGGGGCCCGCGGCCTTCACGGTCATGGTGCCGGTGCCGGTG